AAAATTTTGAACACAATTGATGAATGGTTGTTATTTTTTTATGTTTTTCATTCATTTATTTTTTTGGCCAACTTACGCCAATCTCTAATTTGGCTGAAGTATCTTACGTAAGATAATTTGTTTTTTTTTTTTTACTTTTGTCTTAATTACGACAATTCACGACATTTTTGTTGTTACCGATCTATTTTTTCAACCAAACGTTAGACGTCAAAATTTATTACACAATATATGCAATGGTCACGTGTTATCGCTCGTTCATTGATTTGCAATTGGATACATCGTTATTGTAAGTTTTAATCAGATTTGTTTGAGTTTTTTTGATTAATGCTTTGCTGTACTATTGTTTTCCTTAAATTGATTCCATACCACTTTTCATCTACGTTATGAATAAAGAATACTTATATATATGTAATAAGTACCAATGGAATGATACCAAATTCCGAAAAGTTGGTACTTGAAAACGAATTTGTCTATTAACTACTTTAAACCTGAGTTCATTATTAGTAGAAGTTTTTGTAATATTTTATCCTACGAGACAGTGGTCGCTGCCCGGTAATAACATACTGCGGATGTACAGATTGTTATATTGAATGAATATATACCTAATGAATAATAAGAATGACTGTTTGCCAACTTGTGTCCGTGACTGAACGACTTGGAGATTTGGGATGGCAAATATCTGATACCGAACACCAATATGTTACGACATATGTAACACGAAAAACAAAGTTTTTAAAAGTTGTTTCCCAAATGTTGTGTTAGTGTACAGAAATATTCAGTTGTCAATCTTCTGGAATGATTCCAGTCTATGTCTCTTTCTGAATAAGTCTAATTTTATATGAAACCAGTCATAGCGATGAATGGCTGAAGAAATCACTACGCCGTACCTGAATAGCAGTATCAGAGCAGGAGATGCCGAGGTAGCTTTGTGACACTGTTCATAATTATGTATTTTCTGTGTACGTGACTTTTTGCATACTGTAGTATATCTCCCACTCGGATACTGAGAAGTCTAGTGCCCCATTTCTCTCGTGTTTGGTCTCACTTTAATGCTGCCATTGTTTATTGTCTCGACTTTTTAACGATTCCGTTATGTCTATTTGCACGTCCACGGCATTGTTAGGCATAGCGTACAAAAATTCAAGGGTTTTATGACTATGAGCTATGAGATTATAGTTTTTAGAAAATTTGTCAATTCGATTTATGGACATGTATGCATTTTCCGAAACCAACGAGTTTATAATTCAATAATTTATCAACCAATGCGAGGTGTGAGAATCGCAAGCAAAAGTTGTATACATTTGGGCACTTCAGGTGAAATGAAGCGATATGTAGACTACTGGAAACACAAAACCTCCATCGCGTTATTTCCCACGGTCCGCACGCGCACGCGTGCATTCAATTGTACTGTAACTGGAGTTGGAATACGTCTTTCTCCTTTTGTTGTTTTGATACTTCTCAAATGTTGTATGAGTCCAATGTTGACAAGTTTTCCAAAGCACCATTATCATTTGAAGATTTCAAATATACTTCTTCCAATTCAGTTTTTACTTATAAAAATTTTTACAGCTGCTGTTCCCAAATATTTCAAACAACATCATTAGAGTATCCTCGTCGTCATCGTTTCGTTGAATTTCCAAATTTATTACTTTGTTTTCGAGGAAACAATACATGTAGGGCACTAGAACCAATTTGGGTTTTCCAGAACTCGCTATCTTGGAAAGGAGCTCGGTTTTGATGGATAATTTCAGCTTGGGTGTTATTTATAATTCTTTGTTTTTTTTTTTCACCTGGCTTGATCCGAAATTTGTGCTTATACTGACATAACGTAAATGCACTCCTGTATATTTATATCCACAACGATCATTCAGAGCGCAATTTTTCCAAGCCTTGTGAAGACAAAAGTGAATAGTTTACAATAACAGAATGACGGCCTTTATAAACAGTACACATTCAGTGAAGTTACGTGCCTTCAGTCAGGTAGGTCTTGCTATGATGATTTCGAAGGTATTGTAGATTAATTGCTTGCAAAACGATCTTCAGGAATTGCATGAACGATTGATCACTTTGTTTTAATTAGTCTATCCCATAGCCACCACTGCCTAAAGTCTGACTTTAAAATTTTTTTAATAATTTACATCACCACTATTTTCACAATTTTATACAAATATTGTATCCATGTTCGCAATTGTAAGACATGGGCATTAAGTCAACAGGTTCTAGAATAAATTGCTTTAGCAAAATTTACCTTGACACAATTAGTTAATTTTAACGGCTGAATTCATCTTTTTCATCATTACTTTTGCCTCGAATAAGTGTAACACTTTATTTAGTATATCTGCTTAAATAATGCACAAAATTATTGGGGCGTCAGCAAGCATGTCAAGATTTTGATAGAATCTTGAAATGTATGATAAAATCCTCCAACGTCATCTTTATTTTTGCATTTCCGATCATCGATAGACCTGTCTATATCATCATTGCTTTGACATTATCGAATATGCTCTATCGTCTGTTCTGAGTTAGTTTCTCGCTGACGCAAGCAAGGTTCATATCACACAATGCTTCCATATGGTACCAGACAATTCCTCATTTTTTAATGGTCAGGAGACGGGCAGCAGTGTCACCCAAATAGCTGGTAGTTTTGCTAAAAGATGGTAACCCTGTCTTTCAAGTGTTGTGATTATTGGAAGGATAGACACTTAGATCTGTTGAAGTAGTTGTGTCTTTGATTGAAAAAAAAAAGAAGCCGGGAGCGTGGCCCCGCCTACACTCTCTGCTCTCCTCCGCCTGGTACCATCACTACGCATAATTAGAGAGGTAACAACGGGTACTTGATAAAAGATGGTAGATGCAAAGGGAATAAGTGCAAAGTGATACGTCATGATTGACCTTAAATTCGTTTGGCTAACGGATTAGTTTTAGTTATAGAACGACTGTCAATTGACTGACATTGTTTTCAACATGAGTAATAAATAAAATACCTATCCTCTGACAAAATGAAAAAATATCGCATGGTTAGTTACGAGAAACTTATGATGCTCTTGTTGCGTTATTTTTTTTTATTGTCTGTGGTAATTAGACCACTATTTTATATATAATATATAATAAAATTGATTAAAATTGAGAAATTATATATAATAAAAATGATTGGTGACAATATGAATGAATGTAATTTAGAAAAATTCTGATCTGTGGTTCCGATATATAAAGTAACGTATTGATCGCAAATATTTACGTTAAAGAAAGACATATGTATAGCTTTTTTATTGCTGTGATTTTTATAGATGTGATTATGTATTCGTTCCCATTATCTATCAAAAGTTATTAGTTACTAATGATCTCCGAGATCAAGTGGTTTGCTCACCGGTTTTTATGGTGTCGCCATCCCTGAGGTCCCGGGTTCGATTCCCGGCCGGGTCAGTATAGGAACTAACTTTTCTATATTGTCTCGGGTCTGGGTGTTTGTGGTTACGTCGTTGTTTCCGATTTCCATAACACAAGTGCTTTAGCTACTTACTTTGGGATCAGGGCAACGTGTCTGATGTTATTTAATAATCTTTAACCTGATTAATATTATTTTATACATAGTATATTTAAAGTGCTTAAATAGTCTACGGCCAATGCTATAACACATAATAATATATTTAAATGAAGAATAAATATTTGATGGAATGGCGCCTAATGTATTTGTGCAGACAAAGTTAACTGTTATTTACTTTGAATGTTTGTACAAACTTAAGTTTACTAGTAAATAAGTCTTGTAAACTGTAGTGCCCTTTTTGTGTGCTCATATGGTAAAAAAAAAGTTAAACAAGACCATCTTTTTTAACTGCCATCGAAAACGATAAGCTGCGGAATTCTTATCGGAGAACGCAGTTTTCATACCGGGACGTGCGCGCGTTTACGTAGCACACTTTTACACAAGAACGTAATATGTTGAACAATTTTATTTTTCTCAATTATAACGTGTTAGAGAATCGCAATTACCAGGAATTAAACTACCGCATTCACGGTACTATGAGTACCAGGGTAAAGTAATTTATTTCGACATACTATCCAAAATACTAAAAAAGTTTGTTTCTCAAATTGATTTCAAGTGGTGGACGTCATGGTCTAGCGTCCACATCACAAGGCAGACGAGATTGTCAAAGAATGGAAAGTTCTTGAAAAATTCTCTAATCTGAACAAGTCTTGTGATCATGAAACAGAAAAGATTTAGCGAGTCGTGACCATGGAATCTGTTTCCGATAAATTGTGTCTGATTGGAAAAAAACAAATATTCGCAACTTAGACCCGAAAGAGTAGTTCCATTTCCAGATTAAGTCAGTGTGTCGACAATTTGTACGGACGGTGCGTATTTTAATTATATAAAAAAAAAACCGTTTTTTTTAAGTCTGGTTTTTTTGGACCTCTGTAGTATCCTGTTAAATTGGCCATAGAGACAGCGATATGACTCATGCGGCTGAATTTGTTTGTGGTAAAATTTCTCTGCTTATTCATATAATTATTCAAACAATCAGCATTCTATATTTTGGATGGAAAGGGAAGTCAAACAGCACAATTAGGTGTTGATATTTAAAATCTTATATCCGACGGCTGGCAATGCATTTGCGAAATTTACAATGGTTCCTTATTGGTATCCGTGGTAGTTAGCGTTTATAACAATAAAAAAACTCAAAGAAAAAGATCATGGTGTCAAAGCAGAACAGATGGTCTTATTGAAACAGATAAATTTACAAATTCCAACGTCGGCAAATGCTTCACATTCCGTAGTAACTTAAGTAGAGCATTTTTAAGAGTGTTTTATGGTACATATTATTGTAACCATTTATTCTGTTGATTTTTAATCTTCAGTATCTATACTGTTTATAATTTATGTAGGCATTTTAATGTTAACAAATGCTGTATTACTACGAAGACAAAACAAAGACAGAGACTCGCTAAGAAGAACACATTTTAGTTTTAAGAAATTGATAATTAAAGCAAAAAATACTTACACATAAGCATTTGTTAGCTTAAAACGGGACCACTCTCTTTGGACGACATCGTAAGCGGCTTTTGTGAGCTGCGTGGAAACAGCGAGGAGATCAGGCTGGTACTCTACTTCTTTCTGCTTCTCCTCGTTCGCCGGATCAGTGACTAAATTATGCTCAGTCTTCAGTCTTTGTAATGTTTTGACAGGTTTTGTGTGTTTTATTTCTTTAACCTCTTGGACGGGCAGACTGTCGTCATTGTTGCACTCACTGTTGCACATTTTTATCGAGAAGTTCGCGTGTACGTAGTCGAAGAGCGTTTGGTCGGTTCGAGCGCGCCATCACATATATAAGTCGAGCAAATTGCTTCCCCTCACACCGCCTCATGTGTCTTCTTGCGTAAGCGCCTACGCGCACTTCTTCTATGGGCTCATTCAGAGTGGAGGCGCGGGCGCGGCGGCGGGTGCGTCGTGTAAATTGAAAAAAAAAATTGAAAAAAGAATTGAAAAAGAAAAATTGATATAGATAATTCAGTTTTTTTTTTCAAAAGCGGTAGCACCCTCTGGACAGCATCAATGCCCCCCATTTGCTTCCGAAGCACTCGGAACTATGTTCTATCTATATAGGGATATCTTAAAAATGTAATATTGGACTTTCCTATATCACACAAATGTTGCTCTAGTTTGAAAAAATAACAAGGCTCTATAATATTTCGTGGCCTTGCTTGCTTTAAAGCACATAGTTACTGAAATGCAAAATATGCATTGTGTATACAAATTGTGCAGGCTGAATTCACATCACTTTCCTTCATATTCATACACAGGCTTTTATCTATTCTTAAAGCAATACATTCAAATTAACACCCTTGATAATAAACTTAAAATAAATAGAAAGTTGTACCATCTCCTGAATAAACACTCTTTTTAAGATACGAGTTTGAGAAAGTAAATGTCGTCACTTGAGACGGGAAATTACAGCCACATAGGACTCGTCAACTTAATATTTCTGGGTGACGGGCCCAGTGGCAGTACTCCTCTGAGTTTTGCGATTTAAAGCTCTTTGTGGCACTGCAACTGTTATGGACGGGCGTCTTGTTTACCACCAGGAGAAAGATTTGTTAGTCGCGTCACTTGGGATTTTAAAAAAAAACTTCGCTCCCGGAGAAACTTACAAAGGTAATCTAGTGTTTTTATTAGTTTCATAATATAAGCTCTGAATTTGGAATATAAGTCAAACGAAGTAGAGAGAAAGTGGGAAGTTTGTGTAGTAGTTATTTAAAGTCGTTGCAGGCCTTTTCCACACAAACATACATATGTATGAAATATACTTGGTCATGTGGTTGAGATAGAGCGGAGCGCGTGATTTGAATTGAATGCGCACGTCAGCGACGCGTTTGGACCGTCTTTGATCTTAGCACCTCTATAAAAATCATATATACGCGTTGGAAAGTTAAATTCAAGCATTTGGTTTAGTAATGCCACATCAACAACATGAAAACTTTTCAGAAAAGAGGTTTAAAGTTCTGGGAAATAAATTAATCGAAATGATTTTATGTTTCAATGTGTTATAAAATTTCACATATCGACTGTGAACTGGCAACTATACTATCTCAATTTTCTAAAGATTTCACTTTTGAATATAATTTTGTACTATTTCATACTCCGCAGCGTTAAAAGAAATTCCATCTCAGATACATTTGAAGAATCGACTTCATTCAACTTGTATTAACTTCTAACCAGGTGCTATATAAGTGACGAAAATAATTCTTTTCTTCATCCTGTAAAATTGTCAAAATTGAGGTAGTGCCGGTTTACAGTCGATATACATAATTTGTATTATTTTTTATAACGTTCATGTACTAACAAGGGCACGCATTGATACGACATATTTTCTGTTATGATATTAATAATAATTAATAATTCAATTATTTATTTAGGCATAAAACCCATTACATATAATTTAAATTAAAAATAAAATACAAGTTAATAATTAGAATGTCACTATTCGTCGCCTTAGAGTGAAAATCTCGCATACGCGTTTTCACATAGACCGTTTTTACTGATTTTTGTTGATGAAAAACTTATAAACTTTTTGCTCAAATATATTATTCAAGTAATAAAATGCTAACTACAAACTTAATTGGGTTCACTACATTTTACACCACATTTTTATCTTCGTCCTGAAAAATTACATAGAAAACACATACGACGATTCACTCTAAGACTATATTATATTATACATATCGCACTGCCATTACAATACTGTTGTATCTCAAAATATGTGAAATTCAAGATTGTATCATTGTTGAAAGTAAAATTAGACTCTCTACACGTCAGTAAAACCATTGTTAGAATATTGTAAGAAACAATTAAAAGATTCGACTTAACTCAACATGAGACAAATTTTATGCAAGCTAGTTCTGGCCAAAACATAAAAATATGAATTTATTTCTTCCCTTTTATTTTTAAATATATTTGACCAGTAGGAAATTCTTTAGAAGTCTGTAACAAACTTTAACTTATACATAATTTTTTATGATCTTTTGCGGGAAGTGAGTATTTGTTTTCATCGATTCTGAACGAATACACTTTTTGAGTTAATACACTATTGTATTATCAGTGCAATATGTACTAAAATGAAAATACAAATAAAGTTAAAATGTCCCCACATTTCAAATAATTACAGTAAACGCATCTTAAAAACAAAGTTTACGCAATATTGCACTAGTATAAATTTTAATCTGCTAAATGACAATAGATGGAGAACAATAATAAAAATTCCATCAAATATAAAAAAATCAGACAAGTCAATGCACGTAAAAAGTGTATGCAAGTCATTGACTTACAATTATATGGACGTCGGGTCCGCGCTAAAAAGTGTCCGCACTTGTAAGGCGCTAAAATCGTATACAGAGCGCCAAACTCCGCTTTAGTCTTCATATGTTCGACTGACAGCGCGATACTGCGATGACATTACAATTTAAATTTCGAACAGGTTGACTTGGGACATTTTTTTCGTGGTTTTTGTATTAGACCCGTCGTCCATTTATTTGTAAGTCAATGATGCAAGTAAAACAAGTAGCTATTGGAATTTTGTAGCCTCTCTTCGTCACAAGGAGTTAAGACCCGATGACAGAGTTACATTGTGACAATCGTAATAGAGAAAAAACATTTAGAGTTTGCAATCGATCAATCGCACTCACACTCGAACAATATTTATTTCATAGGCAAGAAATTACTTTTGAAATCGTCATATTGATTAAACCCTATGGTTTGCTCTTTGTAAATAAACATTTGTCCTCATTTATAATTTACAACATTTATTTCAAACATCATAAGATCAACAGCTAAACTTTTTAATCGACTTAAAACAAAAAGGAGGAGGTTCTCAATTCGTCTTTTCCTCTGGCATTTGTGAACCGATTCGATGATACTATTTTTGTTGGAAAGAGGGTACCTCAGGAATGGTCACCTCTAAGAGTGGCAAACTAGGGGATGAATGACCTTTGAGGTCGGTTTTTTGCAACTATGTACTGAAATTATTGTCATTCATGTACTCAGAAGCTGTATAAACCCATTTTTGTTTCACTATAGTTTTAAACCTCGTGAATGGAAAATCGAGGAATCCATTACGCCTGCCAGTTATCATCGCACTGCTAAAAAGGTGCAGAAACAATGTTAATTGTTTTATTTAAACCCACAATGGCAAATATTCACGACATGAAAATGTTATTGAATAAAATGTCAGCACAATCGACAAATGAAATAAGTAGAGACAAAATTGTTTTCTTTTTACATTTTTTTTTGATACTAACTGGCGGGACGAACAAGTCGTGCGCCTGAAGGTAAGCTACACGCCTGTCCATAACAGTTGCAGTGCTTCTCAGAGCTTTAAATCGCAAAGATCTGAAGTGCACTGTCACTGCGCCCGTCACCATGAGACTTAGCCTAGCAAACTGCAATGGGATAAGCGCTAAACGCCCAATGTACCTTAAAATGTATTAACCCAAGCAAGGATGGGCTTAGTTTTGTATGAAAACGTATTTTTATAGGTACTATAGGGGGTCGTACATAGCGCTAAAATACATAGCGCTAAATTTGAAAACGGTGTTGTCATTACAATAGACACTGGGCGTTTACGTGATCATAGAAATAATATTCTCTGGATCTGAGTCACTTCACATATTATATACATTTTTATGTATATGGGGCCTTAGGAAGTTAAGTTCAAAAGTCCCATACCTGTAAGTTCACCAGCACCCTTGTCCTTCAAAACCGGAACGCAATAATGCTGCAGGTGGGCAGTACTTTCCTAGACGAACTCTTTCACAAGGAGCTCTATACAGGATACTTTGTAATACTAACAATCGCGCAGTATTGTATTATATAACATCATAAAAAATTCACGTAAAAAGAAAAACATTTAAATAGATATAGCTATTTACAGTCACAACTCCGTGCATCACGTTGCAAAATATGGGAGCGAGGGATGAGGGTGGTTGGTGGTTGGCCTTCCATGTTTACTACCAAATACAAATCTAAAAAATGTCAGATAGTACAAGAAAAACTAAAAAGTTTAGTTTCAGTAAGTTTATTAGGTTTTGTAAAAAGACATGAAACAATAGTTATTTGTTATGCAAGGCTGCAAACCTGTTGTTTGACGCGAGTGTTTGTATTGAAGGAAGCTAAGATTGAAATAAAGAACGATGAAAGAAAAAAACTGTTGAACTTCTAAACATCAGTTTCTTTAATGAAAAGAAAAAGTTTATCTTCGGATGCGTTCTGAATTGACACCTCATCAATTTTTATTCTTGCTTGTGTTTTTATTTTGTGTGATTAAGAGATTATTGAAATTATTTTAGTTCTTCCACGAATTAAAATAATTTAATAAATGCAATTAGTTATCGTTGTCGATTTAATTTCAACAATAATAAGAATAAAACATACCCACGGATTTATATTACACAAATAAGTAATCTACGACAAATCGCGTAGTTGAACGTGTCATTATTTTTTTATTTTCATTGCACCATTTTTTTTTTAATTTATTAAGGCTTTGGCAAAGCCATCAGCCTAAACATGAAGTTGAATTATGTTTCTGTAAATATGGCCGCCACAAAGAGGATAGGCAATTTGAGGCGGCGTGCTTGGATTGACTCGGGATTCCTTAAAACGGGCCGATACGGGTATTTTAGTTCAGGATTCGTATAATTTCGCGTTTAATCTTCGATTAAGGCACAATAGCACTATCCTATTCCACTTTAAACTAGATTTCACAAAATAATTAAAAGTCAAAA